ACATTTTCTACAATACAACTGCCACATATCTGACATGGCAGTTTGTCATATGGCCCTGGATCCACGGCATTGTCAATGTGTGCGTTATTTATATTCGGTCGTCTGCTAGTCACTCAACACAGGCATGAATCCTGCTACAGAAAATCATGTAGATGCGCATCAATTTGCTGTGGCACAAGGGCTAATTCTAAAACGTTTTTGTTCGATTTTTGCTGTTATTATCTATGACAATTTAAGTTATTTTCCCTAATTTTGAATATATAATACAATTGCGGAGTGTAACTAACAGAATATTTTGCTTTGACATCCGGATGTGAGGATTATATTGTGAGATTTCTTTTAACAATTGCCATGTATTTGTACAAAAAAAAAACCGTAATTTAACTGTTTGTGTTAATAGTTACGATTTGTAACAATGTCATGGCAATGCATGCCAAGCTTGTAAAATGAGCTTTTGATGCTTCGACGTCGAGCCATGTTTCATTGTCAAGACAATGACTGACTTCACAAAGGTTTAACATAATTAAAAAATATGTATGCACATTACTCAACGGCCAATACATACTTTCAGCGAAGATCCAATGGTATCCCTATCAATTAAAAATAGTTATTTTTGACTGTTTTACAATATGTGGGCGTGTTAGACAAACACATCTTTGCAATAATTAAGATGCAATGAGCTGGGTTACTACTAGAAAACACTAAGAATATCAGGGGCGTACTTTTGACCAGAAGTTCAATTCGGATTGACATTGTGAGTTGTATCTGTGCAATTTTTCTCCATATAAGATAGAAGAAGTTGTGTATTTCACTGTAGAACATATATTTCATTTTCATTTTCTTAACCGGCCTGTCTATTAGGGTATGGGCATACTTGACATCTCTAAACGCCTCATGTATGACTTCTACTACAAACAGTTTAAAGTATGGGAGCACTGTCAGCTCAAATATATACGGTCACTGACTCTTCACTTCTTGAGATCAAAAAGATGTCTACAGGAACATGGCCAGGTGGCATGTCTCCTATGGCACACCTGATTAGCCAAGACAGAATTTCCGGAATCCTATACAAAAGTGTGAGACAATGTGTCGTGGAAAAAGCACATCTGTCACATAGAATATGAAGACAGCTGTGTAAATTAGGTTGCCACTATGGCCACAGAGAACATTAACGTTGCTTGGAACATTAACATATAACCTTCAACCTTCAGAAAACTTAAGGTACCACACAAAATCAGTTCCCTCCAGCGTCCAGAGAGCAACAAACACATACCTGGCTTCTTTTCTAACCAGAGTCTCACTGTTGTCAACATCAAGAAGAGATACTTTGACCCACTGAAAAGGAGCATTTATTAGACAATCATTTATAAGTAATGCCACAGCGGCCATCATTCCATAACTTGGTAGGATAGTTGGTAGGATACCTCCATTTATTTAGCATATCCTACAAGGCCATGGCCAGATAATATGAACAATGTGGGATAGTGCCTCTATATCATATGGCGAAGCCAGCCACAATACACCATGGTATAGCGTACTGGCAATCATTTATTTCATGAGAAGCAATCACTGCATATATATATTTGGTTACAAATGTTTAACAACGGTGGTTTTCACTCTGAATATTATGTGTGACGCATGCATGGTCAACGTGGAGGTACTATATTGCAATACCTGCTAATTTAAGGTAAACCCTCCAACAATCCAATATATCCAGAAAGCTGCTTAAGCCTTTGTTGTATCCTCATGTGATTGCTGTGCAGTAGTTATAACTAATTAAAATAAGGATATTTGCAATTTGAGTTATAGCAAAAATTGTTTGAGGCGCCTGTCTAAAAACTTAATTGAAATGAATCTTTAATCGACACTAAGGCTTTCTGTAAGCATATACAGTTCTTCCTTAGTCTTCTTAAGTTCGTCCTTTAGTTTCTTCTATTACATTTCGAAGATGTCTTTGGGCACATACATTAACAGATTGAGGTGGAGGCTCCATAATGGGTAAAACTATCACTAAATTCTCATTATCACTCTCTGCAGCTACAAATTGCAATGTTTATGTTTAAAAGCTTATTCGTTGAAAATGAGCAACAAATAAGCATTTTTTAATGATGATCAATTTGTTAAATGTTAAACCCGGATCGGTACCAAATGGGTGCATTTGAAAATTGACAAAGATGATGATGATTGTATGCTGCGTATAGAAGTTCTTCCACCTCATCTCACCTCCACACCTCTATTTCACACAATTTAATCAAAAATTATAAAAACGACAATCTTAGATTTCTCAAAGTCTACTTCACCAATACCATGAGATGTAGACAGAATGTTGTATTCTTTTTGCACACAGGGCCCTAGACTACGGAAGTAGTATATAAATCACCAACAATAGTACATTTCCTGACTTTGGTTGAATGGTATATGATGGGTGGCATACTATACAATGCAATATACCCATTCATTCAATTTATTCCATACTACCAATGCTCCCTACCAACCACGTACACATATATTTCCAACCTTACTTTCATTCTTTTCATGGCATCATCAAAAAACAATTGTCCGAAGACAAATAACTTTAATCTTTAACCATTTATAATTGAACTAATATATTAGACAGAGTTGTGTGAATAAGTAAATGATCATTACTTATTATTTATATCTTCATCACATACATATCATAATTTAATTGGGATTTGGCGAAGTTAATCGACACTTTTATGTTGTAGTATTATCTCTCCGTATTTTCATCACTTCGAGGTTTTTGAACAGTCTTCCTACAAACTGGACAGTATTTTCCAAAACGATTACTATTATCCATGATTCTACAAACTAGTATCGATAATTACGGTTGGTGATAGGCATACTTAAATATCATGGTTATGATTTACATGCACTCATTGCATGTGTATTGCTCAAATCCAGTGCAATGGGGCCGCCCAAGTACATTTCCCGATTCGTTTATATGTAATTTGTGGCAAGTGGGATAATAGTCCGTGGTGCAACGGCATTTTTACAGGCAATTTAGATACTGGACTTATGGAAACGTTTGACTGCATCAACGCCAATTTCTCATTTTCTGGGTCTTTCCTTCCTTTGCCGGCAGGTCGGGTGGTCTACTTTAGGATTATAAAGAGTAACTTAGGGTGCGTTTTATGCACAAACAAACCTTTCCGGGGTATAGAGACGAGTCGATTGACTGGGTAGGGAAAACAACAGTTTGACCCCGCTCTGCTTCAGTTTGCTGTCTACATTATATGGGTTATTAATGAACAAATAACACTTGTGACCTGCTTTAGCTAGTGGTGGGCACGTGACCATTCTTCGTTATGTAAATTATATTGCCATTCACGGGAAACGGTGTGCCGATCATTGACATCATTCATATATAGTCGTTTTTTGGTACAAAACTCCCTCACAACATACGATGTATGCACATGTAGTATAATTTAAAGCGGGAGGGTCGTCACCTGCGCACGCGACGATAACACACGCTAAAAACGCAAAGGCTCATGGGTAGACGCTTGTTTGTAAACAATGACACGCTATGACCATCTGACGCATGCGCAGGTGCTCGACTCCCGCGCTTTAAATATATGCACTCAATACTGGAGAAATTATCTTTAGCTTTAAGTTTGTAAAAAGTATTTAAAAAGGGATCAAATAATTCCTGTGTTTTTTTTAATCGTTGGTATTGTATTTATTTTCACAATTAAATTGTCTGTGCTAATATAACATTCTGCCATGCATACTTAACTAAACTAAAAATGAGGCAACAGCAACTGAACAAAAAAACATTCTATCATATGCTAAATGAAAATATCGATAAACAACAAAAACGTCCAGACCAACACAACCTCCACCTATCGTCTATAATATATTGTTTGAATCGACACGCTGGGACTCAATGGAGCATTAAATGACGGATTTACCGTGGGTAGCTCTCATTGGATGAGAATTAATGAATACGTTGAACTTTTACACTAACTGCACTAATATTGCCATCAAAATTTGGCATATCAAATAGTGGTAGACATTTATGGGAAAACCAGCTCAGTGTCATCGTGTTTGCTCTCCGGTTTTGGGTTGGTTGGCTGGTTGTGGTGCGTCGTCCGGGAGAAATGAGTGACGCTGCCTGGGTTTAATTTGGGGGATGTTGCTTGGCTTTGAGGGTACTTCTGGGAATCGCATAGGTGATATCTGAACTGCTCAACAATATTTACACAAGTCACTGCATGTCGATTTCATCATATATAATATAACACGCACCCAGAGTTGTACATTCCGAGGTCGAATTGTACATCGACGCAGAGTGGTGAGCCGATCTGTCGTTCACTCGGTCTTCGACCCAACTCTCGTCGAGCTTCTACCCTGCACTCTCCACTGTCTACTCTACTCTTAACTCTCACTGACCTAACTCGTAAAGTTGCATTGTGGGGGTGTTACCTTGTGATCACTACGCTCTTTTGCGTAATCATGCGAAATGGAGTGCAGCGCCTTAGTTAAATACAATTCAGGAAGCAATCACCTCTGTAATTGCTCATATAGCCAAGTTCATATACTTGTAAGTGTATCTCAGACTGGTGACATCAGTGTAATTCACTATAACGCATATGGTACTTGCGTGTGAGTATACGTAAGTACAATTCCGTATCTCGTGTCTTCTCTTGTGTCGCCACAATTAATTAAACTGCAAGTCATTGCGGATACGTCTATTCGGGTATAGCGATTGTACGTCACATAATCGTGTTAGGTTTGCTCGACGTGACGTTATACTGCAAATGACGTCTGCTGTGAGGTGAGACGTTGTTTTCACCAATACAGCGTAGCTATGTAAAATTGCAACTCATATGTGCAATAAATCTAATAAAACATATATAAATATTTCACTAAAAAGGCTAAATATTCAATATTGATCAAATAATAAATTATAAAGAAAAAGGGCTTTGCTATGAGATTTTGAAAATCTTGACTGAACACGTATCAATTTATTCGGTTACAGCATGACCTCTAAAAATAGACGTCACGTGGTTGAAGGAACTGACGGAGGATATGGATGGTTGGTTGTTGTAGCAGGAGCCATAGTCTACGGATTGGCTGGCGGTCTCCCACAAGCTATGGGCTCATTCTTTATTGAGTTCCGGGGCTATTTCGAATCAACTGCAGAGCGCACAGCTTGGGTGATATCTATATTTGTTGGGTGTGTGTTCGCTAGCGGTGAGCAATTTCATTATTATAAATAAAATAATTACAACTTCAATTCAAATTCTTGATATATCAAGCAGACAGCTCTGATTGATAATAAACAAAAGAATCACTTATTTTCAAAGGTGGGGGGCAGCAGTCAATAGTGGAATGATGACCAATGGGCCGTTTATTTACATAGTTTTAATTTAATTTAAATCGGTAAGAATAACGTTTGGGTTTCCGACGTTCAGGCATTACACATCTTTCGGATTTGATCTCTTTCTATGATTACGAAGTTCTATTTTTAGTAAAGAAAACGCTATACAAACCCGATACCGCGTGTATGCAATCACGCACGGTCGTATCAGACTATCGACCGTAAATAGTAGAGGTGAACACTTAATTTGCGGTATTCTCGCCATAACCTTAGGTATTTTTTTTTTAGCTTATAGTATTACTGTTGGGGGTTAACAATCGAAATTAGAACGAAAACATTGTTTTAGTTGTTCGAACATTTTCGTTCAGTGTCGGGATTTCCTTCGCACTATAGCACTTAATAATGTTGAACGCGGCAATGTTAATGACGTAGTTTACCCCCAAATAAAGAAAAAAATAATAGGTTCGGTACGGATTTGAACGAGTGCAGATACAGCTTCTTGTGGAACAATAAATGACGGTTTAATAGAATGGCTTAGTCTATTTGAAGAAACGAAATGATATTGAAAACGAAATAGCGACATGGTTTTCGCCGAGATTTCAACAGTGTCAGTGTTTGTTTGGGTGATTCATTTCTACATTCGCATGAAGCATATTCTATTAAAATCCAAAGTGTAATGGTGTTATTTCATTGATATATCCTTAAATCAACAACTGACTCATCAAATTCTGCCTTATATATTTATATAAGTTGCAAATATGAAGTTCGAAATTTACGTCAATAATGTTGAACGCGGCATTGTTGATGACGTAGTTTACCCCAAATAAAGAAAAATTAAATAGTTCGGTACGGATTGGAACGAGTGCAGATACAGCTTTTTGTGGAACAATACGGTTTGTATGGAATGGCTATTTGAAGAAACGAAATGAAATGAAAACGAAATAGCGACATTGTTTTCGCCGAGATTTCAACAGTAGTCAGTGTTTTCAAATCTACAGCATTCGCAATTTCAATTGACTGTTTTTAGATAGTGAAACGGGTGTTTCTAAAAAGTGTCCAAAATCGGGTCATTATGTTACACAGCACATTCAATTGTACGTAAAAAAACTAAACTAAACCAAGCAAACTAAATCTAACAAACGAAAATATCTGTAACTGTCGTCAAGACTACATGTATTAGCGTACCTGCGCATTGCCTACCATACCTAATTTCTAGTGCTTCTGGGATATATGTGGATATAATTAACGACTCTTGATTTCAATGAAGCACTCCATGATCTTGATGTTTTTGAAAATCAGATTTTGCTGGGTGATTAATTTCTACAATCTCATGAAGCATATTCTATTCAAACCCAAAGTTTAATGATGCAATTTCATTGACATATCCGTAAATCAGCAAATGCTGCCTTATATCTTTATATAAGTTTCAACCTCAATAACTTCTTAACAGTAGCCAAAGCCAGATCATCAATGCTTCGTTTATTGTCCACGTTTAGAGGATATTTTTCTGACACTACTAGTCATATTTATACCAGACTTTACAATAAAGGAGATGATTTTAATTTCAACATCGTGAAATTGCCACACATCTCATCTCTCGAGCCAATGATGTGTGTACATATCCCAAAGCATTCTGTATACTAAATTATTACATCAGGAACTCATTGCTAATGACTAGAATAGTCTTTCAAAACATTGTATCGCAGGTACTACGATTGTTGCAAATGGTCGCTGATGTTGGAAAACAATTTGGGGGGGGGGTAAGAAATGTTACTATAAACAGTTTTTTGGTTATTACATTTCCCAACAAGGTTATGTAGTCAGATCACCGATTCAATTCCCGACTAGAGAAAAGCGGTCCTGAGGTGCATATAGTGGGTCGTTGCGAGTGAGGCAGCGGATAGGATGTTCTCACACATTTAAAGAAGGAAAATACTGACATCCATTCTTAGTTCTCCTTGGATTTTGTTTTCTTGGAATTGAAAAATTGTTTTAACTTTTTATGTTAGGTTAATAATATACATATTTAAAAATATTTTGTTCACTGTCTTGACCAGTGTTTTTCACATGCTGTCACATGATATATCATTGACATCAACAATATTCTCACTGTCTGGAGAATCATAAATTATTTTTGCTACCTAAATGTCAAATTTTAAGGTTTAAAACGTTGTGCTACTGAGGCCAAAGTGCTGGGGGAATTGCCTGTTATTTCGTACTGGTCGCGACTTACTATGTGTAACCGTTGATGTTTTGTACTGTTGTAGGTATAGTTGGATCTTTCATAGCGAAGTGTTTTGGAACACGTCCAACAGTATTTGTAGGAGGTTCATTAGCTGTGTCAGGATTCTTTATCAGTAGCTTTGCTACTAGTTTAGAATTTCTGTATATTACCTCAGGAGTTATGCCAGGTAAGTATTCATTGTACTTTGTAATCAGAAAGTTTGCTTCTGTGTATTTATGCAATGAAATATACATTGCATATAAGATTGACTAAACTGACCCTTGACCTTAAATATATACTCATCAATAAATACATAGGTCTAATCGCTCCCTCAAGAAAGGGTGGTTGAATTGTCAACAATTTGAAAAAAGTAAATATACGTTGTATGGTCATTAAATAAATATATAGACTTGACTCGACAATCTGAGTTAAAAAGCGCGACACGACTGTTTTTTTTCAAAATGGGTGATGTGAAAATTTTGTCGATATCATTTGTGTTTGTAGCCGTTCACCAATGGCAATTTTACTATATCTAAACGAACGACTGCGTGACCAAACACAAAGACTTGAACGACATTGTCACCCGTATGCGCTAACTTTACACTAGAAAAGCACTCCGTCACTAGAGGGCGCAATTTATGTTAATGATGTAGAGTCACGTTAATTGATACGCAGTCTTCATACGGTATCACATTTTCAAAATAAACATTCAAGAAATTTATAAGTTTCATGTTTATATTGTCCCCTTAGGACTTGGCATTGGGATGTGTCTACCCCCGACGTTGACAATGGTCGGGCAATATTTTCCAAAGAGGTTCGCAGTAGCTAATGGCTTTTGCATGATGGGCAATGGTATCACCTTAACAATAGTACCGCTGATAATACAAGCCAGCATTGACGCTTACAGTTGGAGAGGAGCATACATAATACTGACTGGTTATATCTCTCATATTTTTATTGCGTGCGCATTACTTAGACCCCTACCGGGCCATAATACCAAAGCACAGAGCAAACACCCAGTGACAAATATCATTAGAAACTGTCAATGTCCAACATGCTCTCATGTCTGCCGTATGATATTTTGCGACTTTCTGCAGTTCACATTATTACTTGTCTCGCAGTTTTTTGGTCGGAATAGCTCAATTCAGTGTCATGATACTTGTACAGCACAGAGCTGTATTTAATGAAGTAGGTACGTTGCAACAAACCGCCTTTATCATTTCGTCTATCGGAATAACGAGCTTAGTTACTCGCCTCGGTACAGGTTTTATCGTTCAACGCCGCTTGCTCTCAACAACTACTTGCTACATATTATCGCTAATCATAGCGGGAACTGCATGCTGCGTACCACAATTGCCGTATACCTATGCTGGATTTTGTGCGTTTGGTGTCATCTTTGGCCTGACAAGTGGAACTCATATTACGCAGTGTATGGTGTGTACAAGGCAGTACATGGGACAAGACAGATAGGACCGCCACTGGCAGGTAAGTGAAACTGTGTCTTTAAGAAAGTTGAATTATATGTTTCTCGAATCAATTATATTACCTACAGATTTTAGGTTTCTTTTGCGCGTGGCATCAAATTTAAAAGTTTCAGTTAATTGTCTCTGTCCTCAATTAGGATCCGTGTTTGATGTCACACAGAATTATGATACTACATTCTACATCCTTGTTTCTGTGTTTATTGCATCCGGATTGATATGTATACCCGGTGTGATCGTGAATCAAATGAAAAACACGACTCGTACTGCACGGGAAACCAATTCCTATTTTGACGACACTGACATCCGGAAGAATATCTGTGAAATACGAACCATCGGTGTACAAGTAGATGAAACTGAATGGAATAACACAAATGACATGAGTTTCATCTTGGATTCTCCTCTTGCATCAAGTACAGATAGAGTATGATCATGTTATTGTTAACGAGATTATTACATGTTATTATAACAATCATTTATCATTCATTTTTGAGCGGAGTTATAATTTCTAATTGAAATAGTTTTTCAATTCAATTAGTATTTGCTTACCCAATGTTGCACGCAATTAGAGAAAACTAGTCTAGAAATCAATTGAATTGTTTAAGGTGCGTGAAACTACCTCTCCTGGTATTTGATGTCACGTGGCACATTGGAGATCTATGCAGAATATCTACGTTTTTTTGGATTTGGGGGAAATGTGAATGCAGCATGACTGTACGTAACTGTCAGGGACGTAAACAGTTTGTCGAATTCAACGAATTCCTCGCAATTATTGCGAAGGATAATATTAGCGGCAATGCATGTTACTAATTCACTATTTGAAACTTGGTGAATTGTGAAAATATTGTTGAAAATAATCAGAATTACAATTATCAAAGAGAACACCATACTTACAAACTTTTGACAGAAAAATATGCAAATAAAGATTCAGATATCAGACTGGAATAATATATTTTCTTTAAATATACTTGAAAATGTGTGTGTTTACCCCGTATGCTTTACGAGCGTTGGGGTGCCAACAATAAATATATAAAACGGGTGGTGTTGTCTTGCATGCATTGTACACAGTAACCTATTAAAATGTAGCTAATGGAAAAAAAAATCATTGATCAGTTGACGTTTTCTTATTATGTACCTATTGCAAATTAGAATTTAGTAGGGCATCACGCAGACACAAAATTGAAGTTCTTATTGCAGGTTATCCAAACACCCAGTCATCGACTGGCGCCCCATTGATCAATCATGATAAATGACAACACATGAAATATTGAAGGTTGTTTCCGGTTAATTCCTGATCATCTCCGCAGATGTAACGAAAAGCCGCCCATGTGTCACGGGCAAACACATTTCCTATTAGCCTAACTACAGACCATAATCCTAAGAATTGGAGCACCTTCTTACAAGATTTTAGCAAATCCCAATTGTCTGACTGTTGGTCAGCGGCGTTGGCACGGAATTGTGTATAGGGCGAGATCTGCTCACCATCTCTCACGCCGAAGGCGTGAGTGGTCGCGCCAAGTAGACGACTTTAGTAGGGGGTCCAGGGGCATGCTCCCCCGACTCGACAAATTTTAAAATCTAAACCGTCCGAAACGCTATTTCCTACACTTTGAGGGTCAAATTTTGGTGACACAATGGGGGTTCAGCTTGATTTGGGGGGTTTACATTTTTCCGATGCCACCGCCACTGTCTGTACAATGTTTGTAGTTGAATGGTGATCTCTTAGACAATCATTAGTGCTACATATGTCCTACCATATTCACCTATATTTGAGCTTTCAGACGATGTATAGTTTGTTACAGTGGCATACTTAGAGAATGCCTGAATCACAGATTTTTAAATAATTTTAAACTCATTTTCCCTGTTGCTCTCTTAATGGTTGAAAGTGTTGGGTCGTCTCTTAATGTATAAATATTGAAGCAATTGCCCTCTGGAGGTAATAGAGAATTAAGATCTCGTGACGAAAGTAACGAATCCGCAGTATACTATCAGGCTTACAACACGTCAACCAGGAGCGAATATATTTAAATAAGCCCTTTTTTATCGTCTATTTTCTTTTTTTACGTTAGGGATCTCGTGCCGAAACGTGTGTATGAACGATCGGGATCGAGTCGGTACGTGCCGAGAGTTGCTGCCTGAACGCTCGGAACGAACTGAAATCACGCCCTCGGTGGTGAATTTAAGAGAACATACACTGATACATACCAGCCTATGAAATAACAATGGAGGGAAGTACAGCAATATATATGGCAGGATGTTGTAGGAATGAATGAAATGAATGCAAAACGTCGTCAGAGACGCATATTTATGTTCTGCTGCACATAACAGGTTTTTTTTTATTTCAATGCTACATTGACGTTATTTTTTTCTATCGAATGTTCTTTGCCGTTCACGTACACGATGTCTCGTAATAAATACTATAACAACAAATGGATATAATTTCAATATAGTAATTATTATTATCATCATATGCGTATCGTTTTCCATATTTGGGTCAAAAAACAGATCGAAGAATGGGGGCGTGCTTTCGGCACTA